CTCTCTAATTACAATGATGTTTCCATAAGAGTATGAGAGTAAATGGTCTTGTTATATAATATCTGATCAAAAACACCTTAGGTGTGAAAAAAAAGGTGCGGACATAAAAGGATTGAGCGTGTAACTTAAAGGAATGAAATCAAAATTGGCGTCCAAACTGGTAGTTGCACCTATAGCATTGATAATAATTTTACACCAAATATTCATTCATTAGTTAGTTAGGCCGCGTTTTTTGTTCAACTTGGGGCATGATGATTGGTAAAACAAAATACGCGGCCTAACTAACTAACTAATGAATGAATATTTGCTGTAAAATTCTTAACAATGCTATGAGTGTAGCTACCAGTTTGGCCGCCAATTTCGATTTCATTCCTTTAAGTTACACGCTCAATCCTTTTGTGTCCGCACCTTTTTTTATCACACTTAATGTGTTTTTGATTATATATCATGACTTTTTGTCAATATACACCAAATACGAAAGTGACACTCGTTAGTAACCAACATTAGCTGTAGGATTGCAACCCTATTATCTGGAACAGACCTATACTTTACAGAACCAACCAAATTCTTTAAAATACATGGTGGTAGTTTTCCCCTCTAAAACAGTGTTAATAACTTCTTTTATAGTAACGCTATGGAATCTAGATTAGCAGTTTCTTGTCATCACCCGCATGCACTCGGTACAGCCGTATCAGGCATCATTATTTACGCTAATTGCTTAAGCTAATACCAAGTGACGATATATTATCTTTAATTAGGATAATTTCATAACATTTAGCAAAAAAGTTGGCGATGAATAATCAATAATAACCGTCCACCCGTATAATTCTTTTGAAAACTTGAGATAGAAACTGCTTATCTTGTTTGTTTGCCTAATCAATATTTACATATCTGCACATCCTTTCACCCTATAGTTTTGTGGCTTTAAGTCAGCCCTCTTCAATCCAAATGACAAAAAACTAAAAATGGTCCGCTTTTACTCTTGGGTAAAGTTGTAGTAAAAATTTCAAACAGCTAGCTCACGTGACGTTTTACGTGATCGACCGCTAAAAGTTTGGTCAAAATTGAGCGGTTTCTGTTGAATAACTTTGCACATGCGTCTTATATTTATACTTAATGAAACTCCTAATTGTGGATTGAAAAGATCTATCAGTGTTTCAAATTTCAAAAAAAAAATCCCAAAATTTAATGTTTTTTTATATCAAATAAAGTTTCCGTACTTTCAGTGCGAAGAGAAAAATGGGGAAAAATTCAATCAAAATTGGAGATTTTATATCTCGTGTATTTCTTAATGGATTGCCTTGAAATTTGATATATGAAGTAAGAATCCA